ATTGTGCAAGGTGTATAACACTGCGTGGGTTGGTCTGGAGGCATACCTGCCATCCAAGGCTGAATTTGCGAAGCTCACGAGTGTGGTCTCCTCCTACGCACGCAAGGCCATGCGGGGGGCTGCTTGTGGTCGTGATGCTGAGGGACTTCCACGTGCTCTCACAAATGCGGAGGTTCTAAAATGGTGGCGTCTGGTTCCTATTGATCTCGAGGCCCGCATTCGCCGTTTACGCCTACTCCAGGAGCTAGTAGGACATCCTCTGGAGCACACGCAAGTTCTTGGGGCCCTTCTTGGCGCGTATGGTGGTGGAGGGCCCCCCCGCGTACTCTGTGTTGGCCCCGTCTGGTCGTCTGGCTGCGGAGGCACATCCATGGGCTCGGAGATTCTGGGGAGCTCTTGAGGCCTTGCACGTGCTAGACGAGGGGGGGTGGGGGCTCTTCTGGATTAATTATACGGGCGTATCCTCATGCTGTTCCAGGATGAGGAGGCGCGAGCAGATTTCCTACGTATCGATGTCCGGCAACTACGGAGTAGGTATTATTCGGTTTCGATTGCACCGCCGCGGTCTTGGGCTCCAGTGGGACCTCCCAACCAGATGCCTGAAGAAGATCCTGAGCTTCCTGCAACAGTCTTTGGGCGCGAGGGTGTTTACCATTGTCAGTTATTGTGTAAGGATGGCACGGCTCGCAATTCTATTATTCCTGATCGGTGTGCAGTGCACGCGCATATCATAGCAAGGCATGGAAATTGCATGGTAGCTCATATTATTACCATTAGCAGCCAGTGCCCCGTATGCCACGCCATATTCAGTACCCAGGTTGCGTGTCGAAGGCATTTGGTGTTGTCCTGTGCTCGTGGTGTCTGTCGACCGCAAGCCGCCGGAAGCTATGTCGCGTTGGTCATTCCGTCGACTCGGCAGTGTCCTTTGTGTGACGTGGCCACGGGCTCGTTCCAGGCTTTGCAGCAGCACCTTATTTCTCACCCACGTCCTTGTCCTCTGCCTGCGCCACCAGCTGCCGGCAATGGAGGGGCTCCCGCTTGGATGGCGAAGGTCACCAAGTCTGAGGGCGACGGGGGCGAGTCTGGCGCCGAGAAGGCCAAGGTCGTAGCCGCCGCTCGTGCCAAACGAGGGGGCGTTCTACGCCAGCTGGTGGCGATCCTGGCAAAGCTGAGCTTGGCCAACAGCGCCGAGTTGCGCGACGTGTGCGGAGTCATCTACATACTTTTCTTGTCAAGGCCGACGGAGTTTCTACGCGGGCCGCTCGAGGGGCAGGCCAGACGTATCACGCCGAGGTTCAGCGTCGCAGGGCCGAGAACGAGGACCTGGCGTCGCTCGGCCCCCCCTGCGTTCAGATCTGGAGTGCTCTCATTCAGGCGATCGGGGCCGACCCCAAGTGTCCAGCAGAGTGCCGCAAGTCGATCGAGCAGTACTGGAAGGAGGTGTTGTGTCCCATGCCGCTGGAGAAAGTCGGCGAACACGTTCGCCGCTGCCGCGCGCGGCAAACTCGCAAGGTCGAATCCGAGGGCGAGCTGATGCGCCTGACCTTCGCGGTGGACGCAGAGTACAAGCCGCTGGAGAAGGTGCTGATTCAATATTTTGTGGCGATCGGCGCCGAGCGCAAGTTGGGGCCTGCTCCCCGTGGCGCGCTAGAGTGCGAGGCATCTCGCCTTCTCGAGCAGCTCGGCCAGGGCAAGAAGAAGGAGGTGGCTTAAGAGTAGTGAGTATGTCTGGTTTCAGTGATGTGCAGTATGATGGTGTGGTTTGGAGTACTGGGATCTCTGAGCATGAGAATGCTGGAGCTGCTGGGAGTGTTCGCACAGATGCACCGCCTGATCGTGCTGTTCTAGGCCCCACGCCCATTGCTGCAGTGAGGAGTGAGGCCAGGATTCTGTCTTGCAGTGTGGGGGGAAGGGAAGGGCCGTCGGAGGTTTTTGGCGCGGGAACGATCCGTGGTCACCTCGAGGCCCCCCGACTCCCCCCGAATTTAGCGTGTAGTCAGAGGCTTGCCGAATTGGTCGCCCGAGGGGTTTTTGCGTCGAACCTCGTCCCTTCCGAGCCTCCCCCTCCTTCGAGTTCCTCGGGGTTGCGACCGATTCGTGAGCTGTCGGATTCTTTTGTGCCGATGCCTCGGCGTTCCCGTCGTTCGAGGCCCCCTTCGGCCGCCGTGGCTAGTTGAAATTCAATGGAGTGGTGCCCATCACCCACCTAGCTGGCATCCCCCAGCCAACGGGCGGGTCGAGGGCCTGTGGTGGTGCCCCCATCAGCAGCGCTCGCTGGTGAGGGAAGTTGCGGAATATACCGCCATTCAGGTGCTGCATTTTTTTTGTTCTTTCGAGGTGACACTTCGAACAGCACTCGATAATCTTGCCTGCTTGCTTGCTGCGCTCTCCCCCGTCCCTCCAGAGAGCGGGCCGCTCCGACGGCGTGGGCCCCCCGCCAGGCCCCGAGCGGTCCCGAGCGGCCAGCAGTCGGGGGTGGACAGACCTCCTACCCTGACACGTCGACTAGTGAATTGTCCGTTTTCGGTTCTCGAGAGGGCGCCGCGGCCGTCATTTTCCAGGCTGGCGCCCGCCAGGTTTGGGCCCGAGGTCGTCTTCACTAAACCACGCTCTGCTAAAGGGAGGTCTGTCCATCCCCGAAGCAGGCCGGGAGTTCGTGGACCGCGCGCGCTGCGGCTGCCAGGGGGGCCCCCGCCAGACGCCCACAGTGCAGGGTGCCAGCGCGACCCGTTCCAGAGCGCGCCGGTGCTGGGCCCCAGACCTCCAGGCCCGCGGGGCTCGGGCACAGGAGGGTCCCAACAGGATCGCCCGCCTCCCTTGCCCCCCCCGCTCTCCCTCCCTCCTCCCTTTTTGAGAAGTTGGGGAGTCGACTACAGAATTGATGTATCATATCTCCGTAGATCCACGGAGCATTCGACGTATTTTCCACATGCAAGAGTTCATTGGCGTTTCGCGCCATGCGTGTTGTTTCGGACCCTCCCCGGCAAAACAACAAACCATCGCTTGCTTCAGCGGGGGGACCTCGAAGCCTGGGCGGGCGACCGGCTCATTTTTCTGATATCCTTGGTGCCTGCTGACACCGCGTTCGCCCGATGCGCTTGCACGCTTGTGCACAGGAGTGGGGAAGGAATGATGATCCTTTTGTGCGCGAGGGTCCTTTGAGGACGTAAGGAGCGTTCCCATGACACGCCGAAGAAGCCGCAGTAGCTCCGAGCAGATCGATTTTTGTTAGCTTCCTGAATTCCTGGAGGGCTTTCAGGGAATCTTCGATCGTCGAACTTCGAATCTAGATCCATTGCCTGTTCTTCTCGATCGAGAAACTTCAATCTCGAGCCTCAAGCGTGGAACTAAGATCGTCGGGTCAGTTCGATGTGCTTCGTAAGATAACGCCGTCAGGGCATTTTTGCGGTTCTTTTGGGCCGTCCTGGGGCCCTCTTTGGCCGTCCGGGGGCCTTCTCGGGCCGTCTTGGGGAGCTGGGGCTCTCCAGAGGTCTTCTGAAGGCATCTAGGGCCCTCGTGGGGGCCTCCAATGGCCTTCATGGCTTTCGGGGGTCTTTCTTGGGAGCCTTCTGGGGGCATCTTGGGCTTCTTGCGGGCAGTCTCGGGGCTCTCTGGGGCAGTCTTGGGGCCCTCTTGGGCCGTCTTCAAACCCTCTGGGGGGCTTATTGGGCCGTCTTGGGGCGATATTGGGGGCCCATCGGGCTGTCTTGGACGTTGCGAAGTCCCAAGCAGCGGATATGTTAAACTTCGTACATTTCCCATAAAAAAGGAAATGAGACGATTTTTGCTTCTTCGGGGTTCTCTTAACAGCCTGTTGGGGCGTCTTGGGGGCCTCCTGGGCCGTTTTCAGACCATCGAGGTTCCTCTTGGAGCGCTCTTGTGCTGTCTTGGGTCTCTCTTGCGCCTCCCCGATGGCCCCTCTGATCTCCTTGAGTCTGCTCGTAATGCCCGGCAAGCCGCCCTGGGAGGCCCGGAAGAGCCAGCGGATCTTCTCCAAGGGCGTCCAGAGGGCCGTTGAGACGTCCGAGAGGGCGTCCAGGGCGTCCGTGGGGGAGGGGGTCCGGTTTGGGGGTGGTGGTGGTGGTGGGGGGTTCCGGGCGATAAAAATATAAGAATAGGAATATTTGAATGGGTCGTAGAATTTATGTATTTCTCGTATATTTGATTGGGAAGTTAAGTTTGGGGTGCATCAATTCTGTGGTCGATACCCTGGCGGATCCCCGTGGAGATGTCTCAAGCGGTTTGCTCCTGCCGTGGCTTGGATTCCTCTGCTCGCGGGGCAGGTCGTGTGCGCGCGTGCCCCCAGCGTGTCAGACGAAACGCTGGCCACGGGCTTCTCCGACCCCTCTCCTTTCATATCGAAGAAGAAACAACGCCATACATATGAACTTTTGGCGCTCCGCGCGGAGCGCCAACCATTTATGCTTGTGGCGTTTACCCCAATATCATCCCGCTTTAGCAGGCGCAGCATTTTGGTTCTACATGGGGGAGCCGTCAGGGATCGCTGTCGCTACAAAATCATATTCTTTCGCTCATACATTCAAATAGAAGCGCCAGGAGCTGAGATGCACTCATGAAGATCTCCGCGTCGAGTAACTTCATCCAGAATGGAGGGTCGACCTCCCAAATTGAGATTTCCGATCCTCTGGGAGGCCCAAGAAGACCCCTCCAGAAGTCTAGGGATCTCGCCGTATCCGCAGGTTGTGGAGGTCCCCAAGGGTTTTCGGAAGCCTTTGGGCGCCTCTGGAGGTCACCCCAGAGCCCAGAGGCTTCAAACCGTTCAAATGGAGGTCCGACCTACATGCTGCAGACCTTTTTCCTCATCCTGGAGTTGTCTGCTCCCATCCAGACTTGAGGTCCGACCTCCGGAACTAAGGTTTTCGATCCGCTGGGAGGCCCAGAGGGACCTTCAAGTATCCCCCCGAATACCTCGAGCCCAGAGAAAGCTGGCCGTGCCCGAGGCCCGGAAGAGAAAAGCGCGTGCTGCCCCCGCGAGCCAGGTGCCAGGCCTGCCAGCTGGTGCGCGCCAGGGGAGCGCCGATGCAGGCCGACCAGTTGAGGAGGGGGCGGGCCCTGCAGTCGCACTGGTGCGGCACGGGAGGCTGAGAGGGGGGGGAAGCGGGAAGCGGGGGTGGGGGTGGGAGGATTCGGCCTCCAGGCCAAGCTTTTGTTTGTTTGTTTGGGGGGGGGCGTCCTTTGGACCTCCCGTCGGCGGCAAAATCCGAACCCTACCCTCGCCGATGAAAGATTTTGGGGGCTCGACGGGCGGCGGGGGAAGGGTTCGGAGTTCGTCGAGCACGTAGCGAAATCCGAACCCTACCCCCCGCCTCCCATTGATCGATGAGAATCGATGGTTTGTGGGGGTATGGTTCGGATGTCGCCACCAATCCCAGAGGCTCCTGGAGGCCCCGATGCTTCTGGGAGCCTCCAGGCACTTCGGGGAACCCCCAGACACGTCTAGGTGGCGGGAGGGACGGAGGCGAGGGATGATGCAGGTGAGCAGGAGGAGGAGGAGGAGGAGGAGGAGGAGGACGAGAAGCGGGAGGAGGAACATGAGGCGGAGGCGGAGGCGGAGGCGGAGGAGGAGGAGGAGGAGGAGGAATAAGAGGAAGACGAGAAGGAGGAGGAGGAGTACATACGAATGGTGGTGGTAATAATAGGACAGAAAGGTACTACTACTTCTATTTTTCACCATACTAATCGTACTGTGAGGAAACGTGAACCGAATCAGTGTACGCACAAGCATGATACGAATACTGATAGCAATACTAATACGAATACTGCGAACATTCATGATATAACTACTAATATAGGAATGCTACGAATCATTTTAACAATGGACTATTAATTGCAATCGCAATACTACATAAACATAATAAGAGTAGCACTGTGAATACTATTACGAGGACGAATAGTGATGATAGTACTAATCGCATTATTATTCGTCATAGTAATAATAGTAGTAACAATGCTATTACTCATAATAGTAATACTAATAATTTTAATAATAATAATAGTAAGAGGAGGAGGAGGTGGAGGAGGAGGGGGAGGAAGAGGTGGCGGCGGAGGCGGAGGAGGAGGAGTACGAGGAGGAGGAGGAGGATGAAGAGGCGGAGAAGGAGGAGGCGGTGGAGGAGGAATAATAATACTAATAGTACTAGTCAAGCGAATGATACGAATCATAGTTTCATGAATGCTAATGCGAATGCTAAGAATATTGGTAACAGTAGTACTATTAAGAATGATTTCAATACTACGAAGAATAAGACGACTAAGCGTAAGACAACCAATAATACTAATACACACATGACTACTACTCATAAGAATGATGCGAATAATCCTAAGAAGAGTAGTACTCATATTAAGCATGTAATGGATAACAAACTAACGATAATACCTATAGTAAGAAGATGAGGATGATGAGGAGGAGGAGGAGGAGGAAGAGGAGGAGGGAGGAGGAAGGAGGAGGAGGATCATGAGGAAGAAGATGTTGTGTTCGGAGGCCTCATGCGTGGCTGCCTTTTCGCGGGGGGTGGGTGGGTGGGGGCTGTGCGCCTGATGGCCCTCTTTTCCGCCTCCACGTCGGTTGGGGAGGCGCGTTGGAGGAGGTTGCCTATAGCGCATGTTTGCTGTTCGATCCTTTGGGCGAGTGGCTTGCTTCTCGATCTTTCGGGCGAGAACAGGCGGCGGGTCCTGCGTCCTTCTTTCTGCATGAGGGGACGCTTCGGACACTCAACCCCTGGAGTGTCCGCAAGCTTGTAAGGAAGAGGATGAACAACAGGAGGAGGAGAAGGAGAAGGAGGATGATAAGAGCACACGGGGTAGGGGAGAAGGGGGTGGTGGGAAGTGCAAGAGGATGAGGTCAAGGATGATAAGCAGGAGGAAGATGGGGATTAATCGGGTGACGGTGTTGAGTACGACGATGATGATGGTCATGACGGTGAGAAGCATGATGACGATGAGGATGATGATGCTGTTGCTGATCATGATGACGATGATGAGGATCATACTATCGCTACTATTGTCGCTAATGTCGGGGATGATGATGACGACGATGATGGTGATGCTGATGATGATGATGAAGATGATCATGATGATGATGCTGATGATGCTGGTGAAGCTGATGATGATGCTGAGGAGGATGAGGTCTAGGAGGAGAAGCGGGGGATGGGAAATGCCGAAGGGGGACTCTGAGGATGATGCGATGATGGGGATGATGGGGATGATCAGGATGGGGATGACGATGGTGATGGTGATGGCGATGGCGATGATGATGCTGCTGCTGCTGATGATCATGACTATACTGATGCTGCTGCTGATGATGATGGTGATGCTGATGGCGATGATATGGTGATGATGATGGTGCTGCTGACGCTGCCAATGATTACGAGGCTGATGGTGGCGATGATGCTGATGATGACGGTGATGGTGATGAAGATGATCATGATGATGATGACGATGTTGATGATGCTGATGATGGTGCTGCTGACGATGCTGATACTGATCCTGACGATGCTGCCGATGATGATGACGGTGGTGGTGGTAATGATGATGATGATGATTCTGATGATGATGGGTGATACTGCTCATGCTCATGAGGATGATAATGCTGAGGATGCTGATGATGATGACGATGACGATGGTGGTGGTGATGCTGATGCTGCTGATGATGGTAACGTACCACCCCGCAATTGCGGATAAGAGTGAGGGGGCGGGCGCGGGCGACGCGGGCGTCGAGCCGGCGGACCTCGTGGCCCTCAGCTTCCCTGTCGATGGCGCCCTCCTCCTCCTCCTGCTCCTCCTCCTCTTCCTCGTCCGCGCCCTCGTCCTCATTGTCGTCGTCGTTGTCCGCCTCCTCCTCCTCCTCCTCCTCCACCTCCTCCTCCTCCTCTTCCTCCTTTTTATCTGCCTCCTCCTATTCCTCCCCCATCCCGGTCCTCCCCCCTCCTCTTTCCCGTCGTCGTCGTCCTCCTCCTCCCCCTCCTCCCCCCTTCCTTTCTCGTCGTCCCCCTCCGTCCCCCCCTCGTTTTCCTCCTCGCCCTCGTCGTCGGCCTCCTCTTCGTCCTCGTCCTCGTACTCGTCGTCTCGTCTCGTCGTCGTCGTCGTCGATGTCTTCCTCCTCCTGCTCCTCGCCCTGCTCCTCCTCCTCTCCGCGGCAGCAGGCAACTGGATTGTCAATGCACGTGTTCAGACACAGCCCCGCCGCAGGCGCCGATGTGCTGTTGTAGAGTCAACGTGTTCCGGATCGGGGGAATGGCACGAGGGCACTTTCCCAAACCAATGCGAGCAAGCCTGCCGCAGGCGCCGATTTGCGTGCTCTGACAAGTTCAGCGCGGGGGGGATCGCTGGTGGGCCACCTGGAACGAATACAACAAAAGCCCGCCGCAGGCGCCGAATTTTTGGCTTGTTCAGTGAACGTAGTTTGGGTCGCGGGTGGGTTGCGGGCTCTCCACCTCCACCTGGAAGGAATTCAAAAAGAGCCCGCCGCAGGCGCCGAACATTTTGATTTGTACACTGAACGCGGTTTGGGTCGCAGGTTCTCCACCTGGAACGAATTCAAAAGAAGCCCGCCGCAGGCGCCGAAGTTTTGGCTTGTTCAGGGAACGTAGTTTGGGTCGCGGGTGGGTCGCGGGCTGTCCACCTCCACCTGGAAGGAATTTAAAAACAGCCCGCCACAGACGCCGAAACCAATGATTTGTACACTGAGCGCGGTTTGGGTCGCGGGTGGGTCGCAGGTTTTCCGCCTGGAGCGAATGCAAAAGAAACCCGCCGCAGGCGCCGAAAATTTCGGGTGGGTCGCGGGGTGGGTCGCGGGTGGGTCGCGGTGGGTCGCGGGTGGGGCGCGGGCGCGTTTGGGTCGCGGGTGGGTCGCAGGTTTTTCCACCTGGAGCGAATGCAAAAGAAACCCGCCGCAGGCGCCGAACATTTTGGGTGGGTCGCGGGGTGGGTCGCGGGTGGGACGCGGGTGGGTCGCGGCGGGTCGCGGGTGGGTCGCGGGTGGGTCGCGGGTGGGTCGCGGGGTGGGTCGCGGGTGGGTCGCGGGGTCGCGGGATGGGTCGCGGGTGGGTCACCGGGGGGGTCTCGGGGTGGTCGCGGGCGGGTCGCGCGGGGTGGGTCGCGGGTGGGTCGCGGGTGGGTCGCGGGGTGGGTCGCGGGTGGGTCGCGGGGTGGGTCGCGGGTGGGTCGCGGGTGGGTCGCGGGGTGGGTCGCGGGTGGGTCGCGGGCGGGTCGCGGGTGGGACGTCGACAACAACAAACAACAACAAGAGTCTGCATCGCGGAATTCCACTTCAGCCACGCACCCAGGGACAGTGAATGACCGCTCGGTTCAGCCCCCTCACTCTGATGATTATGTTGATCACGATGTTGATGATGATGCTGATGCTGATGATGCTGCTGCTGATGATGATGATGCTGATGCTGCTGATGAGGATAATGATGCTGAGGATGCTGATGTGGATGATGCAGCTGACGATGATGATGATGATGATGATGATGATGATGATGATGATGATGATGATGCTGGTGACGACGCTTGTGATGACGATGATGCTGATGACGCTGATGACGATGCTGTTGAGGATGATGATGATGGTGTTGATGACGATGGCGACGACGATGGCGATGCGCATGATCATGGTGACGATACTGAAGATGACGACTCTGCTGCTGCTGATGATGATGGTGATGATGATGGCGCTGATGATGATGCTGAGGATGAGGCTGACGATGATGATGCTGCTGCTGATGATGCAGATTCTAATTCTTGTGGTGGCGGTGATGCTGCTGATGATGATGACGATGACGATTGTGGTGGTGATGCTGATGCTTCTTCTTCTGATGATGATGCTGCTGATCACGATGATTATGATACTGATGCTGATTATGATGCTGATGCTGATGCTGATGCTGATGCTGCTGATGATGATGATGCTGTTGATGATGCTGCTGATGATGATGATGCCCATGATCATGATGTTGCTGATGGTGCTGTTGATGACGATGATGGTGAGGATGACGTGGATGATGATCGTGGATGATGATGCTGCTGCCGCTGATCA